AAGAGTCAAGTGCTCAAGGTAGGCGCACCGGTGAAGAACAGCTTCCAGGCTCGTACAAGAAGTCCCCACGCACTACGGGTTTCCTCGCTGCCCAACGCGGCCAAAAGATTGATTGATTGATGGGAAGTCGAAACACAGTTCGTCCAACGTCTGGGACACCAACGCGGTATGGGTGGACGCTAGACGGGCGATGACGGTCACACAGGAGCGACACACAGAACCACAAGACAGGACACTCAGCCAAACTGACTGCCACACATCCTAAAGGATATCCACCTCGAGAACCTCGACGAGTTGTACCCACCGCAACGATAGCTGAATCCTCCAGCTCTTGGCTCCACTCGCTGATGTTTGAGGAGGGGAGGAGGGGTCCTGGGGCGGAGTCCCGGAGGGCGGGCCCCTCCGCCTGGTTGACGGCGGGCGGCCAGACGCGCGCTGTCTGCTTGAGCGCCTGCAGGTGCCTGCGGTGGCGCGGCAGGAGGAGGGTGGGCGGCGGCAGCGACCTCAGGTCCTGCCGCTGCTGCTGCGAAGGAGGGGCGCACCGCACGCTGAAGTTGGACACGCCGATGGCGCGCGTGAGGCCTTGCGCGGCAGGTAGCAGCGGTCAGTACGGGGAGGGTGCGGAGCGACCTCGCGACCCTGGTGCGCGGAGGGTGCGGGGGTGCGTGTGGCGCGCCTTGCTCAAGGGCGTCCTCCATCGCACGCCACGTCTCGGCGCGCAGCGCGGGAAGCGCATCCTCCTCGTGGCCGGCGGCGGCGTAGTGGAAGGGGCCGTGCGCCGCGATCTCGTCCTTCCGCCGGTTCATCGTCCTCCACGCGGGGCCCGGCCAGTGCATCAGCCAGAGGTCCACCTGCGCAAGCTGCAGCCGGCGGAGGCTCGTCTTGAGGCAGGCGAGCGAGGGCTCGTAGCCGTGGAACTTGCGCCAGTGCTTGGTCGTCACAAAGACCTCCTCGCGAGTGACCTCGCCCGCCTCCAGCGCGGCGGCGAGGGCCGCACCCGTCTCCGGCTCCGTCTTCTCTCCGCCGTAGATGTAGGCCGAGTCGAGCGCGCGGTAGCCGAGCCGCAGCGCGGTCCGGACGGCGGCGCGCGCGTTCGAGAGCTTGTAAGTGCCAAAGCCAACCCACGGCATCGAGACTGCCGGCGCCGTACCCTGCTGCGGGAGCTGCACGGTGGACGACAGCTCTACGAGGCCTCCCTGCGAGCTTGAGCTGGCCGCCGGCGCGGCGGCAGAGCCGGCGGCGGCGGCGGCGGCGGCGGCGTCGGTGTGGGTGGTGGCGGCGGCGGCGACGTCCGAAGCGTCCGAGGAAGCGGCGGCGGCGTCCTGCGCGACCAAGGTCTCGCGCGAGCGCTTGGTCATCGTGCGACCCGGGCAATGCTGGCAAGAATTCTTGCTCTCGCTCACGCACTTGATGGTCGATTCCGCATGGGGCAGCACACTGGCACGACAAGGGACTCCATACCCGAAAGAAAGAGAGGGGAGCTCGCAGGAGAGGTGACGAGTGAACTACAGGTAGTGGGGAAGGCAGCCTCGATTGCCATACAGACATGGGTGCGAAACAACGACAAGCAAGACCAAGGCACGGGCAGAGGAACGAGAGAAGAGCATAGGGTGGATAAAGCGCCTGTTCACGGCATGGAGGGTGAGCCACGCCGAACGCGCTGAACGTAGAGCCGAACGGGAGGAAGCTGGGGAAGACGACTCTCTGAGGAGGAAGAACCAGTGGAAATCCCGCCGTCAGCTGTCACGATGCACCCGAAGGGGATCCCAGCGCCAGCATCTTCCGTGAAGGCACAAAGTGTCCGAAGAGAGAGTGGACCTGAGCAACGATATGACTTGGCGGCAAATGGTCGCAGTGGGAGTCAGAAGAGTCGTCCTTGCGCGAGGAGAGCTCGATAACCTCGAGGGGCCAGGATATGCTGCGAGGAGGGCAGAGTTGCACCGAGAGGCGAGGGCAAGGGATCGGCAGGCAGCGGCGTCGTCGCAGGACGAGGCAGAGGAGAGCGACGCGACAGAGGAAGAAGCGACAAGAGAAAGAACGACGAGAGTGGGAAGACCGCGAGGTGGCATGAAGGTTGCAGCGAGAATCGGCGAGGGACTGCGAAGAGAGATAGGAAGAGGCAGACGCCCAAGGGTGGGGCGGACGATAACGCGACTGCAACCCCCGTTTGGTAAAAATCCCAATGGGGAGGCGGGGTCGCCGTCCTCGCATGCCTCCCTTGGGTTGTCTGGTTTCTTACAATCCCCCCACGCCAAGGGAAGAAAGAAAGAAAGCAGGCCAACATCAACGGAGGGATGGGAGGACGGCACGCCGCCACCACACAGGGATTTTAAGGAGTGGTGGTAACCCTTGGCGCTTGGGCGTCTGCCTCTCGTCAGGGCCTTCGCCAGGTCTTGGACACAACAGCGATGATGATGCCGACTTAGTGCGGGGAGGGTCGGTGAGCACTCACTCACTAGGGGGGGCGCCGCAGCGCGCAGGGCCGGGGCACTGGCCACGGCCTCTTGCCGACCACTAGAAGGCGGCCCACCCACTACGCGCACTAACTTAGTGGGGGCGGGGTGGCGGGAGGCACTCACCCACTTGCCACTAGCCCGCTCGCTGGCGGCCCACTCACTTACGCACACTAAGTTAGTGCGCGTAGTAGCCGGGCTCGCCTCTAAGAGCACTGCGAGCGGACCACTCCCAGCTCTCGGCCGGCCCGAGGCACTCACCTCCACGCACTAAGGCTGGAGGCACTCACTTTCGCACACTAAGTTAGTGCGCGTAGTGTCCCGGCCTCCGACCACGACTCCCGGGAGCACTTGACCTGCCTCGGCGCACCACTAGGCCTCGTACAGCTCACAGTACACAGACTAACTTGCGTCGACTTAGTTCGCCGCAGGGCCCGGGACCACTCACCCACTAGGTAGGTAGGTAGAAAGGTGAAGAACAGCCAGGCACGGACTGGACACCAACGCGGTATGGGTGGACGCTAGACAGATGATGACGACACGCTACGGCAATCGCTGCTCTTCACACGACCTGGCGAATGCTCCTGGCCTCTTTCTATCTCCCTTCGCGGCCCTCGCCGATTCTCGCTGCAACCTTCATGCCACCTCGCGGTCTTCCCACTCTCGTCGTTCTCCCTCCTGTCGCTTCCTCCTGTGCGTACGGAGCACTTGGAGCACTTGGAGTGCAGTTATTAGCCTCACATCCAGGGCCGGGGAGCTGAGAAGCGCACCCAGCGGGCCGGATGATCGGGATCGGGTTACGGGCAAGAGAGCCCTAGCCCTGTGGGGGGTGCGCGTTCGCAGGGCCATAACATGGGTCTCCGAGGGCGTACGGCAGCGCTCCGGGTTTCCCTCAGCGGCGGAATTTTTCCCTCGCGCTTCCTTGGCCCCCCCTAGCAGCAAAAAAAATAAAATATTCTTACCTTCAAGCCCCCCTCCGAGACTAGGGACAGTCACCACATAGCAGCAGACCGCACCCCCTCCGCTACTCGGAGCTAGTGGACACGAGTCACGACACTAACTAGTGATACGAGAATACGCACCGCCCCTACGCAATACCTTATTATAATACAAGAATACGAGAATACGCAGCCGCGAGACGCCTAGGGAAAATTCTTTCTTTTACAAGACGTCATACGGAGAGGATTCCAAGCGCCGAGCACGGCCACAGGGTTCCGGCTCCTACCCAGATAGGGGGTCTGTTTACCATGACTCGCACCAAAACGCCCTACCTACCTACCTATTGCGGGCGCCAATCGCCAGGCTCCGTGCCTCACCTACCTACCTATTCCCAGGCCGCGCAGCGAAGCGAAAAAATACCCGTGAGCCCTCTGTGAATAGGCTCCCAGCGCCCGCCGCGCGCCGGCTTGTACCGCGGTGCCGTCCCGGGCGCCGCCACCGCGGGCGCCGCCGCCGCACCCGTCTCGGCTGGCGTCCCAGCCGCAGGCGACTCGCCTGGCATCCCCGTTCGCGGCTAAACGCGCCTCTCCCGCGCAAGCGAAGCGGTTTTTTACCCCCCCCCCCCCCACCACCACCACCACCGCCACCTACCTACCTATTGCGGGGCCCTCTGGGGCGGTCAAAACCGGACCTACCTACCTATTGCATAGGGTCCAAGTGCAGACCCCCTATCTGGGTAGGAGCCGGAACCCAGTGGGCTGAGACTGTGTACTGCGGCGCCAGAATGACAGCCTCCGACCCCGCCGACGCCTACAGAACGCTCAGCTGCATCCAAGGCTTCGACAGCTTCAAGCTCACCAGGCGCTCCAGCGCCGACGAAATCCAGCGGGCGTTTGCTGCCCAGCGGCTGATCTGGCATCCCGACAAGAACCCAGGCGACGCCGTCGCGCGTGAGACCTACGCCACGATGCAACGCGCGCACGCGATACTCATGGACCCCGAGCAGCGGCGGCTGCACGACGAGCAGCTTGCGGCGATACCATTATCTGTCCCCAGCGCCGCCGCCGCCGCCCCTTCTGCTGAGGCGAGCAAGGCTGCAGCGCGGCAGCTGCCGCCTGATTGGCTGGGTCCGGCGCCGCGGTCGGCGCGCCCGTTCGCGTACGTCGACAGCACGCCTCAGCCCAGCACTCCCGCTGCGCTGGCCGGCGTGCGGCGCGGGGACGCCCTCGTCCGGATTGGAGAGGCGGCGCACCTCCGAGACGTGCAGGGCGTGCTGGAGGGTCAGCGGCTGCTGCCGGTGCCGGCCCTGGTGATCGAGGCGTCGGGAGGCTTCGTCAAGAAGTGGATCGTGCCTCACTCCTGGGACCCAGACACGCCCGGATCGCTGCTGGGGTGACGCGACGCCACTGCGAGGCAGCTCCGGCCCGCGAGACCGCTGCCAACCCCCTGGCTGGCCCTTGTCGGGTAGGTGCCAGCTTGCAGACAGCTGCCCGGCGGACCTCGCCGAGATGCACCCCGCAATGGCGGACGCGCGAGAGCGGGCCGCCGAGGCGCGCGCCCGCCGGCTTCGGTCCGAGGGTGGCGAGGAGGGCGAGGAGGGCGAGGAGGGCGAGGAGGGCGAGGAGGGCGCAGGAGGCGTGCGGAGCGCCGGCCAAGGCGCGAGAGGCTGCCTCTTCGCGTCGTCCGCGCTCGGCCTGCTGCTCGCCGCCTCCGCCATCGGCCTGCCGCTCGCCTCGTTCGACCTCAAGCCGAAGCAGCTCCTCGCACTGCCTGGCATCGACTGCGCCGCGCTGCTCGACAACGCCACCCTGCCTCCCCCGCACCCGCAGCTCTCGCACCGAACATCGCGGACAAGGATCACACCGGAGCTGCAGTGGGTCCTCAATCAGCTACCGCTGCCGCCGCCGCCGCCGCCGCCTCCGCTGCCGCCACCTCCGCGCCCGCACCCGCCTCTGCCGTCGCCTCTGCCCCGCCCGCCGCAGCCTCTGCTCCCGCCCCCAGACCCCCACTCGCCGCCGCCGCCCTCCGCCCCGCCGCCGCCCGCCCAGCCGCCCGCCCTGGACACGCCCCAGCCCGCTGTGCCCCCCGGCACCGCCCGGCGCGGGCTCGGCGCGCTTGCCGCTCCTCAAGCCGCTCCTCAAGCCGCTCCGGACCCGCCTGCCGCGGCGCCCGACCCGGGGGCCGTCGCGGTGCGAGACGGAGTCCGAGGCCCCTTCTGCTCGCGCGCCGGCGCGGCGCCAGCACGAGTCCGAGCCTCGGTCCTGCACCTCGCCGTAGGCATTCTCTTTGCGAGCGGAGTGGTGCTGCTCCTCTCGGCGTGCGGGCTCGCCCTCTCCTGCTCGCCGCCCGGGCAGTGCCGCGGCGTGATCGGAGGTGTTCGCCCCGCCCTCGCGCACACCCGCCCCCTGCTCCCCGCCTCCGTTCCCCCCGTCGCTGGAAGCCCCCCCTCCATCTCCAGGCATCTACCTCGTGTGCGGCCTGCCCACCCTCGTCCTCCTCATCTTCGTGTCGGCCATCGCCTTCGCCCTGCGAGAGCAGGCCTCCACCCCCCTGCCTTGCCGCCTTCTCCCGCCCTCCCGCCCTCTCCCCTCCCTTCCCCCCCCCCTCTCCCGCCCCTCTCCTGCCCTCTCCAGACCTCTCCAGACCTCTCCCGCCCCTCTCCCGCCCTCCGCCCGGACCAGCGGACCGCGGCTCGCTCAAGCGCACGACGCCCCCCCCCCCCACCCACCCCACACACACACACACACACCCCGCCCCACCCCCTCGCCCCAGGCGGATGCGATCGTCTCGCGGTACTGGACGTGCCTCGTCCGGCTCAACGACGCGCACCGGCTCGTCGACCTGCCCGACCCTTACCGCCACGTCGAGGCGGCCGCCGCCCTCACGACCACCTCCTCCCTCTTGCTCGGCTGCGGCATGGTGAGCGTGTGCAGGCTGGTCGGCTTGCGCGCCGTCGCTCGCCACGCCGTCCTCGTCATCGCCTTGGGCACCGGCCTGCTCGGCGCCGCCCTGGTCGCCCTCGGCGTCGTCCTCATCTTCGCCACGGACGTCGCCACCGTGTACTTTGACTGGGCCCTCGTCGCCCTCGGCGCTGCCACCTTCGGTCGCGCGCCCCCTCTCTCCGCCGCCCCGATGCCGCAACGCCCTCTCACCCCGCCGCCCGTGCGGCTGCAGGCGTCTCTCTCCTCGGCGTCTTCGGCTCGAAGCACGAGTCGCCACCTCTCCTCCGCGCCTACGCCTCCGTCCTCCTCCTCCTCCTCCTCTCCCTGATCGGCGCCGCGGCGGCGCTGTCGTCGCTGGGCGAGGCGCGGATCGACGCGTGGATGGAGGAGCACTGGGAGCGCATCGAGGCGACCACGCTCGTCGTGCGGAAGGACCAGTTCGAGGCGCTGCTCGCAGACCACGTCGCCGCCCTCCTCACGCTCCTCGCGTGCCTCGTCCTCGTGCTCACCTTCGACCTCCTGCTGGTCTGGGTGCTGCAGTGCTCCGCAACCTCCCGCCATCGGCGCCTCAGGGGCGAAGACGTCGAGCGCAAGCCCCTGAGAGCGAGCAATGGCGCCGGTGTTGAGCTCGAGGCGGTGGCGCCATGAGTTCTGCTGCCCTCTACATCCCAGCGTGCTGCAACTCTTCCGATTACGAACACCGCAGATTACAGTTTGTACGGTAGTGTGGCGCGTGTCCAGACGACGCACTCCTTAGCCCTCTAGATCCTAGTATTGCGCGTGCTCTTTTTATTCAAACAGAATCAGGAGCTCTTCACCCAGCGTGCGCAGCGTGTGTGTGCTTGCAAGATGCCAGCAAGATGCAACCGAGAACCGTTGCAGTTTTTTTTCGTCCCCGGGGGCACTCCTCAAACACAAAATGCTGAATGCGCAACGTCTTCGAGCCACCGCGCTCTAAGCCACGCTCTCCTCAAATGCCAGCTGTGGCGGCCCACCCCTCGAGCGCATGTAGCCGTAGTTCGAGGGCCGGCAAGGATGGTGTGATGTCGGCAAATGCCTCCAGGGCCCGCAAGCGCTGCACTGGGGTGCTAGGACGGTCCACAGGAGGATCCAGTCCCAAGCGCTTCTCCAGCGCCTCGAGGCGATCCGCGTAAGAGTGCGTGTGCGAGGCCCCGGCCTCCGACTTTGCGGCAAGTGCCAACGCGTGTGCCCCCGCGTAGGTGTACGACTGAGGCGCAGACCCGTGGACTCCTCCGGGATCGCGTGCTGCAGGGGCTGGGAGCAGTTCCCGGTGGCGTGGCGGCGTGGAGGAAGGGGGCGAGATGTGGGCTGGGGGAGACGGCGGGTTCGCGTCGGAGGCTGCGGCCGTGCGGTCGCTGATCAGTTCTGGTCGCAAGAACTCCTCCTTCTCTGGATGCGCGTTGAATCGCGAAAAGGAAAAGTCAGTGGCGTAGATGGAGCTGACCTCGTACATCGCTGCGTTGCCTTCTATCGCACCCTCTGCCATCGCGCTCGTGGTGAAGCGGCCTGACCTTGGGTACCAGTCTCGCTTGCCATTCAGCGGCTTGGCAGAAGAGAAGGACTGCCCAAAGATGCCGTGAGGGAGGTTACGTGCCGCATAGTCGCCCTTCAGGTTGAAGCTAAAGTCGAGCCGGTGTGAGGGGCCCTCAATCGCTTTCGTCGGAAGCGCGCGCACAGCGACGCTCCAGTTTCGACCGGAGAAGGTTGCGCTCGACATTTGCACCGCCATGCTGAGGTCTTCACAGCGCTTGGACCCGCCCTTGCCTAGCTTGAAGTGCCGGCCGTCGCAGCTGCCGTTGACCACCTTCCAGCCCCAGTTGTCGTCGTTCAGCTCGGCCGCCCAAAAGGAGACGAAACAGAGCTTGTTTTGGCGCTCGCCGTGGGTAGGAGCCGGAACCCAGCGGCACGACGCGAAGCGGCTTGGAGTGCACGCCCCGCTCGTGCCTGCTGCTCGCCGGCCACCCGCTCTCGACGAAGTCGGGAGCCACCGATGATGACCGCCCCCCAGGGAGCCTCGTCATCCGCCGACATCACAATCCAGGAGGTGTACGAGTTCCTCTCCGACCTGCCCGGCCAGGAGACGCCGCGCGGAGCATGCGCAACCGCAGCCCTGAGCCGCAATTCGTCCATGGACTCGGTGCACGCGTCGCTCGTCGCCCAGGCTGCGGCACAGCAGCTGAGCGGCGGAGTTGGTGCATCGCCTATGATCGTACCCGTCTCGGTCGTGTCGTCGTCTGAACCCTCCTTCGACATGGGAGGCCTCGGAGGCAGTAGCAGCAGCGGCGGTGGCACTGGCGACACCAGCGGCGATGCGAGCGGTGCGAGTGGCGATGTCGGCGGCGGCGGCGACGACGACGACGCCCCCTCCATCTCTGCGGCAGGGGCCAGCTGCGCGGGCAGCCCCGTAGCAGCCGCGACTGGCAGCCCCCTCGCCGGCGCTGCCACGGCGCCCGACGAAGCGGGTGAGAGCTCGGCGGGGTCGGCGCTGGCGACACAGACCTCTGCAGCTCCGCAGCTGCAGCAGGCGCGACTACCAGAACCGGAGCCGCAGCTGCAGCAGCCGCAGCTACCTCAGCCACCTCAGCCGGAGCTGCAGCAGCTGGAGCCGATGGCTGTGGAGGTGCAGCCGATAGCTGTCGACGGATGCTACGGAGTCGTGGCAGACGCACCGATGGCTCCAGCTCCGGAAGCGATGGCTCCAGCTCCAGCGAGCGGCGGCGCGGGGTCGAGCAGCGGCGCGGCGGCGAGCGGCAGCGCCGACTCCTCGCAGAGGAGAGCCTCTCCTAGATGCGCCGCACGTGTCCCTCCCCGCCTCCCCGCCTCCCCTCCCCCCCTCCTCCTCTCCTCCCCTCCTCCCCTCGCCCGCCCTCCCCGCCGCAGCTGCGCACATGGACCGCTCTTCTCACCGAGCCGTCTCGCCGCTGCCACAGGCGCCCAGGCCGGGGACGAGGCCGCGGCGGCGGCGGCGGCGGCGGGCGGCGCGGGCGCGGTGGCGACGACGAGAAAGCGCGGCAGCACATGTGTACGTGGCCAAACTGCGGGAAGGTCCGCTCGCTCCTCCATGCCCCCCACCCCGCCGCCCCTCCCCTCAGCTTGACGGCTGCGCCACCGGGCGGGGCAGGCGTTTGGCTCCAAGTGGGGCCTCGGGCGCCACTACCGCATCCACACGGGCGACAAGCCGTGGGTCTGCACGGTCGAGGGGTGACCACGCACCCCACCCCTCCCGCCTGCCTCCCGCCTGCCTCCCGCCCCCCGAGGAGGCTCGCGCGCGCCTCGCGCCGCCCCCGCCCCCGAGCCCGTGCCCGCCGCTCCCCCGAGGTGCGACAAGCGCTTCGTCGACCGGACGCTGCTGCAGCGGCACATGAACACCCACTCGAACGAGCGCCCCTTCGTCTGCCCTCGGCGCGGCTGCGGCAAGCGCCTCTGCCTTCTCTGCCCCTCCCCAGCCGCCTCGCGCCCGCCTGTAGTCCCGGCTGCCGCAAGGCCTTCAAGGTCAATAAGCACCTCGAGTACCACCTGCGGCTGCACGACAAGCCAGACTCGTTCGCGTGCGACATCGACGGCTGCGAGAAGCACTTTGCGACGCCCTCCTCTCTGCGGATGCACCGCCTCCTCGAGCACGGCCGGCCGGGCGACGAGTCTGCCGCGGAGCAGCAGCTGCGCGCCGCCAACCAGACCGTCGCCGACACGCTCGACAAGAGCAGGACACAGCTCGCGGAGGCGACTTCCTAGACACCTCCTAGACACTTCCTAGACACTTCCTAGACACTTCCTAGACACTTCCTAGACACTTCCTAGACACTTCCTAGACACTTCCTAGACACTTCCTAGACACTTCCTAGACACTTCCTAGACACTTCCTAGACACTTCCTAGACACAGCTCGCGGAGGCGCGGCCGCCGCCCCATCGCCCGCCGCCCCACCACCCCACCGCCCGCCCGTCGCACTTGCCATGCACACGTCTGCTACACGTGCTCTACACGCCCGCAGGTCCAGGCGGCGGTCAAGGCGGCGACTGCCGAGTCTCGGCAGCAGAAGGAGGTTGCCAAGATGCGCGAGCAGTTGATGGAGGCCCTTCAGAACGAGCACTCCCTCCTCGCCGACGCGCTGGCAGGCAGCGGCGGCGACGCGGGCAGCGCCACAGACGGCTCGGACGGCTCCTCGCTGATGAGCAGCGGCGTGGACGCCGCCCTCGCTAGCCTCTACCACTCTAGCGCGAGCGGCAGCAACGGCCTGAGCGTCAACCTGTCCATGCCCGCCGTCCTCGCCCTAAACGCCCTCAGCGGCGGCGACGACGGCAGTGCCATCGCGTGTGGCGATGGCACGCGAGCAGGGTGGTAGGTCGGCCTGCTTTTGAGGCTCCGTAGTCATCATCTTGATCATCGCTTCGAGGTAATCATCGCGTGTTGGCCTCGCTGCGACCGTGTCCACATGTGAGTTCCGTCTCGATGAAAGCCAGCCTGCGCGAGATGAGTCATGAGATGTTTCATCATTCACATGTTTGCGTCTACTCACACGTAAACTCATCAAAACTGACGAGGATCCGAGGCGTCCCCCCGGACCCCGGTACGCACGTGCACGGAGGCGGACGGAGTCCGGAGAGACGGAACGAGACGGAACTCCGCCCGCGCGACGGCGGCGAGAACCCGGGCGCACCACGATGGAGTTCGAGTTGGAGAGCCGAGAGAGGTCGGTGCAGAGTTGAGGCGAGAGAAAGAGACCTGGAGAGAGAATAGAGGACTCGGCAACTCGCGCACCGCTATCCGCTCTCTCCAGAGAGTCCGCGCGAACCTCGATATTGCACAACCGGGAGAGATTTTTTTAACGTGTGATATAAGATTTTGAGGGGTTACACAGCATACAAGTTTGAGCCGCGATATCCGATAACTCCACAACGCACAAGCTGGAGCTACGAATTTCGAGTACTGTCCTGCCCCAGGCTATTACCTATTTTACGCTTATTCCGATCAAACGACTCACCTTTTCACGCTTCAGCAAAGCTTGCCAGTCTCGAGCTCAACAATGCTCGCACACGACGGGTCGCGCTTCAGGGCCTCGAGCTGCCGCTTCGCGCCTCGCCTCCGACAAAATGTGGTGCACGCAATCAGCAACAACACCCCGACAGCCCAAGCGAGAACGCTCTGGTTGGGCGACTGTGCCATCTGCCCCGAAGCGACGCCGGCGCCGGATCGCTCCGGCCGCACCCCTCGCACCCGCGCGGCCGACGCCGCGGCCCTCCACTCAAACACGTCGGGCGCCGACCTCAAGCCGCGCAAGCCGCCGCCGCGGGCGGAGGGCCCGCCCTCGACGCTCAGCCCGAGGCAGCCGGCGGCGGGGCTGCACAGCTCGCCGATCCCCGCCGCCTGGATCGCCTGCAGCGCGCGGTCGCCGCTCCTCCGCCTGCGGGCGGCAGCCAGCTCTGCCGTGGCGGAAAGCGGCAGCGGCAGCGCCTCGAGCGAGCCTCCGACAAGCGCCTCCTCTGCCGCAAGGAGTGGGCTCCCCTCCGGCACGTAGACGACCTGCAGCGGCGCGACGGCAGCCTGCGGGGAGAGGTAGGCGGCAGGCGGGGAGAGAGGCAACGCCGCCGCCCACCCGCCGCCGAGTTGCTGGCAGCGCCACGCCGCGAGGCTGCCGTAGTACGCCCTGCTCATGCCCACGTCGAGCATGTGCAGCATGCCGCCTGAGGGGGAAGAGGGGGGCGGCTCTGCGGCGCTGCACCCCGCCCGAGCGGGCAGTGGGGCACGAGTCACCGCAGCGAGGCAGCGGCTGGGAGTGGTCCGGCACGATAGTGTGGCCGACGACCATGCGCCACGCGCCGACGGCCTGCAGCGTCGCGCGCAGCGGGCTGCACACCTCCGCCTCTGCTCCCTTGCTGAACCCGCGGTACCTGCGACGCGCGGTTGTTGGGTGGGCACGGGCGGGAGGTGGGGTGCGGTGCCGCGGCTTCGATCGCCACAGCGGCCCGTCGTCGCCCGTCAAGTCGGCATAGGGCCGACTCCTCGCCTGAGTGAGGCTGCTCGAGGTGGCTCGAAGGCGGGGCGGGTAGCTTGGGAGAGAGGGGAAGCTGGGGAGAGAGGGGCAGCTGGGAGAGAGGCAGCTGGGAGAGAGGCAGCTGGGAGAGAGGCAGCTGGGAGAGAGGCAGCTGGGAGAGAGGCAACTGGGAGAGAGGCAGCTGGGAGAGAGGCAGCTGGGAGAGAGGCAGCTGGGAGAGAGGGGCAGCTGGGAGAGAGGCAGCTGGGAGAGAGGCAGCTGGGAGAGAGGCAGCTGGGAGAGAGGCAGCTGGGAGAGAGGCAGCTGGGAGAGAGGCAGCTGGGAGAGAGGCAGCTGGGAGAGAGGCAGCTGGGAGAGAGGCAGCTGGGAGAGAGGCAGCTGGGAGAGAGGCAGCTGGGAGAGAGGCAGCTGGGAGAGAGGCAGCTGGGAGAGAGGCAGCTGGGAGAGAGGCAGCTGGGAGAGAGGCAGCTGGGAGAGAGGCAGCTGGGAGAGAGGCAGCTGGGAGAGAGGGGCAGCTGGGAGAGAGGCAGCTGGGAGAGAGGCAGCTGGGAGAGAGGCAGCTGGGAGAGAGGCAGCTGGGAGAGAGGCAGCTGGGAGAGAGGCAGCTGGGAGAGAGGCAGCTGGGAGAGAGGCAGCTGGGAGAGAGGCCCGCCTGCCCGAGGGCGAGCCTCATCCGCTCATTGAGAGCGTCGAGCGCTGCGGCGGCAGTCGAAGCCTACACTTGCAGCGAGGGCGTTGGAGGGGCGCCGCTTGCCCACCACTGTACCAGGCTCGCGGGCGGCCGCGCCGTGCCAGACTGCCTCAGGTGGTCGAGAAGGTGGTGGAGCCGCAGGCCCGCATGGACAAACAGAGTGCGGCAGGCGCCCTCGCCCGCCACAACCGCCGCCTCGTGACCTCGGAGCTCGGCCCCGATCGCACCCGCCTCGGGATCAAACATCTCCGACCAAGTCTCGCGACCGGTGCTTTGCAGCTCGGCCTCGTTCACGTAGCGGAAGTCACCTTCCAGGTTGAGCGCCTCGTGATTGCCGAGCAATGTGACGACGCGCCCGCCCGCCTGCGCAGCCTGCCGTCGCAGGGTTCTGAAGAGCTCGAGCACCTTCAGCGAGTCAGGACCGCGGTCGACCAGGTCGCCCGTCTGTACCAGAGTCGCGTTGCCGCCTGCCCACGACCCATCGGCCGCGATGAGCCCGCAGAGGCGAAGCGCAGCGATTGCCTGATCATAGTCGCCGTGCAGATCGGCGATAGCGTAGACCATGAGTGGGCTCGCACTGATTTCGCCCCGGCCCGGGGCGCCGCTCAGACAAAGCACAACCCCGTCTCACGCGAAATCCACTTGCGGTACCCAGGCGAAAGAAGAAAACGCAGCGACATGAGCGATCCCACGACAGCGTCTGTGGCAGTGGGGACTACACGTGATCCGTACACTGTGATGAGTGAAGGGAGGTGGTTGGAGGTTGGAGGTCGGAGGAGGCCGCCCATCCGCGGAACTAGGGTCTAGGCGGCACGGGCACCCCCAGTAAGAGACAGGTATACTACACACACACAACAGGCTTTGCCAACAACAATCAAAACAGCAGAAAGCCACGGTCCGCAGAATGACACCGCGCACAGCGTGCGCCGGTTGCCTTCCGTGCCAACCCCTGCGCGCACAACCACTGATGCGCGCACGAGAGAGCGCCACTATGCTTTACGTACATGAATTCGGCTCCCGCGCCGCCCGTAGGCAGCGCCTCGCGCCGCCGCCTCCTTCCGGCCCGGCGCTGTGAGGACGCCGGAGGGTGCTCGGGCAACGTTGCTCCACTAGATGCCGCCGAGCAGGTACTCTTTGATGGCGAAGCCGGTGGCCAAAAGAAGCACGACGGCGGCGGGCGTCAGGAAGCCCGCCTGCGGCGCGGCAGATGGCCCCGCGACGAGTGCCTCGTAGTCAGACTTGCAGGACTCGATCTCACCGGCGTTCTCTGCATCAACGATGCACTCTCCGAGCGAAGCTGCGGGCCCCATCAGGGCGGCCCGAGAATCCATCTCGCTCAGCGGCGGGGCCGGCCCGCGGCTGACGGGGATCTTGGGGATGGCGTCCGAAGCGAAGCAAGCGTCCGCCTCCGCCTCACTCTCGGAAGAGACGATGCACTCTTCAACGTCAGCCATGGTCTGGCGCTGCAGTTGGACGGCCAGCATTCGCGGGCGGCCAGTGGCCCGAGGGCCCGAGAGGGCGCTGCTGAAAATAATGAGCGCTGCCGCTGCCATACCCGAGGCAATCTTCTTGATAGCCGAGTTGCGTCACGCGTTGTTCACTTTATTTTTTTGATTTAGCAAAAAGAAAGAAAGAAAAAATGTATTATCCTAACGGTGTGGGGGCGCGGAGGGCTTGTTGGCGAGCCAAAATGGTGTTTTCCGAGGCGCTGCGCTAGGCTCAGAGCGAGTTCGCGCTGCGCTAGGCTCAGACGGCGAGTTCGCGCTGCGCTAGGCTCACAGATGCGAGTGCGCTGCGATAGAAGAAAAAACAGGGTCGAAACGACAACCGAAGGGAGGACTGTGTAGTGTAATCATGTGTCAAGAATCACGTGCTGCTGCTGCTGCTGCTACTGCTGCTGGCCTGCTGCTGCGCGGCGAGCGCCGTCGCCGAGGCGGGCCTCGGCGGAGAGCGCGATTATGCGGCCTTTTCCGCGACCCGCACAAAGAAGAGGCGCCCTCCGTCAGCCTCGACCTGCCACCGGCTCGCGTCGACCGACCCGGCCGCGTGCCACACCTCCACAGCCCAGTGCGCCAGCCCGCAGAAGTTGCCCTCCTCGATGCCCCATCCCGTGGGCCACGCGGCCAAAGCGGTGCCGAGAGGCGGCGGCGGCGCCGCGGTCGCCTCGAGACGCGCCGCGACGGCGTCAAAGGCGATCCGCCTCGCGCCCGTCGCGGCCGCCTCGGCCAGCAGCGCCTCCCCGGCCAGCCGCGGGAGGTCGCCCTCCGTCTCGAACCAGCACGACGAGCGGCCGTCGGCGCACGCCTCGTCCCACGCCTTGAGCTGGCGGACAAAGGCCGCCAAGCTCTTGAGGCCGGGCGAGGGCGCGGCGGGCGACGGGGCAAGGGAGCAGCCGGGCGAGGAGAGGTAGGAGGTGCTCGCCGGCGAGCGCTCCCGCGCCTGCGAAGGGGCAAGGCCTGAGGGCGGGCGGGCGGTCGGGCGGGCGGGCGCGGGTGGGGGGGATAAACGCTGCGCCGCCAAAGGAACCAGCGACACTGGCCGCGGCTCGTCGCCACGCGCCGGCTCGGAAGAGGGGCTGTCGGCGGCGAAGCAGAGTGGCACGCCTCGCCGCTCGAGCCGCCGACAGCCCCCCTCCTCGACGTGACGGCCGCTCCCGGAGCCGGCCGGTGCGCCCCTGACCCACGCCCCCTCTCGCACCCCTCCGACCCCCCCTGCTC